ATTGGACACTCGCTGAGGGGGCCGCTGGGTGACATCGCGCGTCACGCCAACGCTCCAGTGGAACCCGGAAGGGAAGCGGCAAGTAGTGAAACGACCAAGGGTGACATAGAGGAGATCGTGTGAAGAAGAGTTGAAACAGTATGGACTAACATGGATGCAGGTGAAAGGCACACCAGAAGACAGAAGCAAGTGGACACGCACAGTTGAAGCCCTATGTTACACTAGGAACCCAAGGGAACAACAATAATAACAATAATAATAATTCACATCCGAGGGAGCACTGTATCATCTGCATATTCTAAGTCAACAATACCACGGCTGGTGACAAGTCAATCACTGAGTCGCTGAAGTCACCGAGGGTTAAGTTCATTAGTACATCTATGATGAAATTGAATAGAAATGGGGATAGTGGGTATCCCATCTGACGGACACCACTGCACTGGTTGTCACCACTTCACATGAAAACTCGCCGTAAGCTCTTCAGTTCGAGTAGAGTGAGTGCCTTGATCAGTGCAGTATATTTTTTCTTGCCATTCCCTTCACAGTCAAACATCTCCATAGTACCTCTCGGTAGACGGAGTCGAATCCCGCCTATAGCTCAAGAAATATAACCAGTCAATATGCCCGCCTTACAAGCAGTTAAAACACAACTAACTACTGTCTTCATCCCTAACTTAGCCACAAGACAAAGCTGCCTATTAAGAAAATTATTTTAGCAATTCACTTATACTGCCTCACATCTACTATCTTTAAATTCCACGGCAAAATATTTAGACCAACAGAAGGTGTAGCAATGCGATGGATCACCAGTATCCCCTATCCTAGCAGATATATTTCTGCACAGCTGGGAAAATATTCATCTTAATACATTTAATCCTACTCCGAAGATATGGTGGAGATGTGTGCATGACACTTTCACAAAGTCTGTTAACAACAGGACATGTCTCTCTCTCTAGCTTCTTCACACATATAAACTCACTAGTAGAGGGAAGAAAATTCACATCTGAATCGGAAAATGAAGGAACAAGGAGAATTAGCTATGATGTTACATTGTAAAATAAAACGAACAGAAGGTAAACTGCACACACACTAGCCTTTGTGAAAAGCTTACGCATCCCAACAATAGATATTTAGACTTTAATTCATGTCATCCGTTATCTGTCCGTGAAGTGTCTGACAAACCGAGCAGTAGCACTAAGTAGTACTGGGGTGAGAGCTGGCTGCTAGCCAAAGTTAGTACACAGTAATTGACGTCAATGTTTATGTCCCCAATATAGGTGGTGAGAAAATGAGAGGAAAGGCTTTGAGTAGACGGATACATTTAGCATATGGATGATTGGATACAGCCACAAACAGATGCAAGCATAACTTTCTATGAGAAACAACCAATCAAAAGACTGTATTATCTACTAACAATAATGTACATTAAAATCTATAAATATCTTTTGATTTTCCTCATTCAACGATCGGTTGCCTGGCCCTTGTCTTCTCATGCTACAGTAGAAAAAAAGACTTATAAGATCAGATAACACAAACAGAACAAGGTTTTCATCACTAAATGCAAAACAGAGACAGTGAACACAGATACAAGGCAAACAGAATAACAATATCGAAGAACTATTTCGTTTTTTTGGGTATTATAAGTCACAAGGAGTGGATGCATCTGCACCAGCCATCCGCTGAGAACGAGGATTTTGAGCCAGCCTTCATTGGTTTGTACCCTCCCAAGGACCCCAACCAGTAAGGACGTCTACACATTCCTACATGGCTTAAACTAATTGTTAAGGATTTCATTGACTGACAAGGTCCATGTTGTGGTTTGAACAACACCACCACTAACTGCTCTTTTCCAACTTGATTCTATGTCAGGGTAGAAGGCTCGCCAACTAAGCATGCACACTGTGTTCAGTTGTTCGCCGTATAATTCCCAACCGATTCACTTATTATAAACCTACCTGGTAGTAATCCCGATGAAAAGCGAAGGTTGCACATGTGAGTGGTGAGTCTAGTGTGACTACTACACACTCCACTCCACTCCACGTAAGAGAATAAACATCACTACTGTCCTACCTGGAAGAAACTTCAAAGCTCCACCACCATATGAAGGGAGTGGCCTTCCAATGTGTCCAGACTTGGTGAGTGAGTGAGTGAGTAAAAAAACGTTTTAAATTAGAATCAAGAAGACAAATATCACTCACTCTTTCATTCAGTACCCCCACCTTATTTTGCTGCTTATATTATTCATAAAACATAAATAAGTACATTGTGAGTAGTAATAATCAACAATCGGTGGGGGTTTGGGGGAGGGGGAGTTGGTGTGTGGCGGCGTAGTCCCAACTGTGTAGTTCGATTGATTATTTGTGTTTGGTCTTCTCTTTGTCGTAGCATAGATTCTGTTGGCCTCTGTGAATTTCTTCTTCTGAAGGTACTTTATATACATTACAGTTGTTGGCGTGATAGAAACCACAGAACGGTAATGGATCTCATTGAAGAAATTGTTCATGAAGCCATCAAGTCAGGAATTGTCGCGGCTGTTGGGCTGACATCCCTTCTGAGTCTCTCATGCATGTCCTTGATTTCTTTTTGTTTCTTTGTCACCTACACCGGAATTTCGTTAATGTACTGCACTACGGCTTCCAAGCTTTTTATAATTTTATTACGCATCCATTCAAATCAAATCACATCAGGATTCATGGAATAATCCATTTAAAAGGAAGTATTGGCTTGAACTGGGACATCAACTTTACCTAAAGAGAAAATAAATGGCGAGAGTGTCGCAGCCTTATTGAGAAGAAAAATTGTCCGAAAAGTTGAATTATTTCACGTTGTGTCGTATTTTGGTTGCAAGATTATTTTGAGACTGCAAAGTTCGTTGTGTGTGTGTGTGTGTGTGTGTGTGCTTATACCCACTTTCCGTAGCAGGTGCTTGGTTTAATTTGCTAACCCTGATAACCATAGAAACCGAAATACGACGCAACGTGAAATAATTCAACTTTTCGGACAATGTTTCTTCTCACTAAGGCTGCGACACGCTCGCCAATTATTTTCTCTTTAGGTAAAGTTGATGTCCCAGTTCAAGCCAATACTTACTTAAATGGATTATTCCATGAATCCTGATGTGATTTGATTTGAATGCATGCGTAATAAAATTATAAAAAGCTTGCAAGCCGTAGTGCAGTACATTAACGAAATTCCGGTGCAGGTGACAAAGAAACAAAAAGAAATCAAGGACATGCATGAGAGACTCAGAAGGGATGTCAGCCCAACAGCTGCAACAATTCCTGACTTGATGGGATCATGCCAATCAACAATTTCTTTCACGAAATCCATTACCGTTCTGTGGTTTCTATCACGCCAACAACTGTAATGTATATAAAGTACCTTCAGAAGAAGAAATTCACAGAGGCCAACAGAATCTATGCTACGACAAAGAGAAGACCAAACACAAATAATCAATCGAACTACACAGTTGGGACTACGCCGCCACACACCAACTCCCCCTCCCCCAAACCCCCACCGATTGTTGATTATTACTACTCACAATGTACTTATATTTTATGAATAATATAAGCAGCAAAATAAGGTGGTGTACTGAATGAAAGAGTAATATTTGTCTTCTTGATTCTAATTTCAGACGTTTTTTTACTCACTCACTCACCAAGTCTGGACACATTGGAAGGCCACTCCCTCCATATGGTGGTGGAGCTTTCAAGTTTCTTCTTTTAGGACAGTAGTGATGTTTATTCTCTAACGTGGAGTGAAGTGGAGTGGAGTGTGTAGTAGTCACACTAGACTCACTCACATGTGCAACCTTCGCTTTCCATCGGGATTACTACCAGGTAGGTTTATAATAAGTGAATCGGTTGGGGAATTAATTATACGGCGAACAACTGAACACAGTGTGCATGCTTAGTTGACGAGCCTTCTACCCTGACATCGAATCAGGTTGGAAAAGAGCTGCTAGTGGTGTTGGTCAAACCAAAACATGGACTCCATCAGTCAATGAAATCCATAACAATTAGTTTAAGCCATGTAGGAAGGTGTAGACTTCCTGAATGGTTGGTGTCTTCGGCAAGGTAAAAACCAATGAAGGCTGGCTCAAAATCCTCGTTCTCAGTGGACGACTGGTGCAGATGCATCCACTCCCTGTGACTTGTAATAGCCAAGAAAAAACCAAATAGATCTTCGATATTACTATTCTCTTTTCCGTATATCTCTGTTTTTACAGTCTCTGTTTTGCATTTAATGATGAAAACCTTGTTCTCTCTGTTTTATCTCATGATTTGGGTTTTTTGTGCAAGCCCCAGTTTTTCAAGCAACATTCCGAATAACTACGGAGAAAGTGGTCAATATATTTACATACATACTTAAATTCACTGAAGCGAAAGAGTACCACGGCTTTGCAGGAAGTCTTCAACACAGAATAATTTTTCTCTGAAAAACTGACATGTGATCAAGCCAACTTGATCAGGAGTGAGACAGATGCATGACATAACATTCTATGCACCATTGGCTTCGGCTTCCTTGGCTGATCTTTCGAAACCGTTCAGCACTCATCATCAAATATATCCAGATAGACAGTGTTGTGTGTGACATTAGTTAGTTAGAATGGCCGTTTATTAACGAATATGACACTTCACGACACTTCGGCGGTTCGTCTTCGCCTTCTTCTACCTGTTATTCTCCTTATCACATGGATCCCAGTTTGATGAGGCATATACACGTGCAAAACCGTCCTCAATTAGGAAAGGAGGAACAATCAAGAAGACAAATATCACTCACTCTTCCACTCAGTACACCACCTTATTTTCCTGCTTATATTATTCATAAATTATAAATACATTGTGAGCAATAATCATCTAGAAATACCCTGGATGGATTAATTAGGTAGGTAGGTAAGTAGGTAGGTAGATAGAGTAATTGGACAAAGTGCATTCGCGAGGAATATGACTATACACACACACACACACACAGACAGACAGACCGACAGACACACACACTGGTGTACCAGACTAGTTAGTTTCTTCTTCTTATGATTGTGATTGATGCAGTTGACTCTTCGCCACCTCTTCCACCTTCTTCTTCTTCTGCTGCTTTTTCTTCATTGTAAACCTAGAGCAGTGTTCACAAGTTGAACAAAGCCTAATATCACAGGTTGCCAAGCAACTAGATAACGAACCCAATCCAATAGATTCCCGTATAAAATATGCGGTTTATCCCATCTAGAAGGAGCAGCACCGGAAGCAGCAGCAGTGTAGAAGTTGTTGTTGTTGTTATTCAGAGAAAGACAATTAAGAAAGTTTAGCGTGCAAATGTATAAGCGATTTAAACAACAAGAAAGAAACAGTTCACACCTTACCACTTTGACAACCGCTAGCTAAAGTGAGCCTAATCCTGAGGAGTATTCAACTTTATTATTATTATTATTATAATCTATCATATTGACGACTGAATTTTACCCTGTAAAACTATAATCATTATTATTGTTATTTCTTTAGCTGCCTGTACAGTTGCTAATAAGCTATTATCTCCTTCATGCCACCATCGGTTGCCCAACTCGTTGATTCTACCCGACAGTCTGACGTGAGATGTCATCTGACGCTTTCCTCAGTATGTGTCGGATTCATCCTTTTATCCACCCACCTCAGCATATCTGTGAAGTGTTCATCAGTAAGGTACTTGTCAGAGTTCCCCTAGTGGCTTATGGCCCGGTCAGTCATTTGATCCTCAGTTAGGATATTATTATTATTATCATTAGCTGATCAAAAGATTGCAATAGGAGTTGTTTGGAAATGCTTTTTTTCTAGTGACGTTGTACACCAAGTCTCTAGCACCTTCTTATCTGGCGAAGAACCAACATGACGTATAAGTGTTGAAAATATAATTAATATTGTTCAATATGCGTTGAGGTCAGCAGATTTGTCTTCACACTACATTGATCTTGGAGATAATAATAAGGTCTGAGTCACCTTTGTCGATCCTGTCTAGACCTTTCGCTTTGACAGTCTCATCCACTTTAGTCTGTAATTCAATTGGAACGATGCTGCGCATTAGATAACTGTAAGTGGCTTCCATCAAATCGGTTGTGATCGCGTGTCTCCATCACCTCTGTCTTCTCCTATGTCTGCTTGAAATCCTGTCTTCACCAGCTTCTCTGCAAAATCCAAATCTTATCCGTCTTCTCATTCCCCATGGCTTCCGGTATGATTCAGTTCACTACAATCAGGAATATCATCGTTGATAGTAGCAGGTAGCCCTGTCGTACTGTTGTCCTCACTACAAAGCCCTCACTGAGTGTTTCGTTGTGAGTCACTCGGTATCCTCATATAATTATTATTACTACATTATTGTTTTCATTAATTCCTAGAGAAACATAGGGCTCCAGACTCACGTCTCCATTTTGTTCTGTTCTCCGCCAACGTTTTCATTACCTGGCTCCACGTCTGCCCACACGCTTTCATTTCCTCTTCACATCACCTCCTCCTCCATGTCACCCTCGCACTGATGACCAACTCGTCGCTTCCCATTCGGGTTTCACTCGAGCAATGGCCAGGTTTGTGATGTCGCTCACTTGATGACACTTTGTTTTCTCAGAGTATGGTCAGACAATCCACCTCCATTTCTTCCTGCATATTTGTTGCACAATCGGTTCCTGGTTGTTTTACTCCCAGAGAGATCTCTGTTGCCGATCTTTTCTGACCGGGCATCTGATCTTGAGTGAAGTATTGAGGGAAGACAGCTGTTGATGCAAGTCCGTAGTTTGTTCGAAGTGCCCTTCGTGAGGCGGCGCGGCGCCAAGTCTCCGATCCGTATAGTCAGTAGCACTGATTTCACACTGGAGTTGAAAATCCGGATCTTATTTTTCATGATGAGTGCTGTTGATCTCCACACAGACTTGAGAGTATTGGAAGCTTACCTTGCTTTACCGATCATCGCTGCTTTGATATCATCGTCAGTCCCGTCCGCCTGTAGTTGAGACGATGCTTCCTAGGTGGGTAGGTAGGTAGGTTGCTTCACCTAGATTCAGCTTCTCCCATTCATGCTGGCTGGTTGTTGTTGCTGTTGATCAGGAATCCTCATCACCTACGTCTGTTTTCTCTATGTTCACCTGAAATCCTATCTTCGCTGGATGCTTCTTCTGTCAACTTGCTGCTTTTCACTTACATATCTTCCAGTTTGTGGCATATCAGACATATTTCACCATCGCCGAAGTCCAGATCCTCCACTTTTCGGTATTCCCATACAGCTGTTGGCAAAAGATTGGGATACTCTGTAATGTTGAAGTTACTTTCCAAATCACTTCACGATCAACGCTAGCTATCGAAGTGCCCTTTTCAAAGTCAGTGAAGTTGAGGCATACACAGTGTGGACTGCCATTCTATGCTCTGTTCCATGACGATTCGTAGGGTTGCGATTTCTAATTCAAACATAATTTGCTTTTCCTCAACCCTCAGCTTCTTCAGAACGGAGTTAGTTCTCCATCCAACCATGTTTCCACTTTCTCCAGGATGACGCAATTGTTTTTATTTTGAAGTAATTCGGTGGATGCTGACTAGCTGTGTGGAATCCAGAATGCGCAATTCACCCCCCCCCCCCATTTTGGACTCAGCAACTGTGTGTACCTGCGTTCTCCAGTGAGTCAGTGATGCTGTTCCCATTCTGGCTCGAACCCAAAACCCGTAGTTTCAAACGCCAATGTGTGTTATCCACTACACCACTCAGGCTACGAGAGTCACCTCTTATGAATTAAATAATCATTCGTATCCATTGCACAACAGGTGGTGGCCCTCATGACTTCAGCGGTCCAGTTAATGACGCTTTGACGTCTGAAATTATGGGTAGTGGGTTCGAGTCTGAGTGGGAACACCATTATCGACTCACTGAGGAATGCAGGTACATACAGCTAGCTGACGACTCGGTCCCACTGACTGAATAGGACGAAATACAACCTTCTCTGGATTCCACTCCTAGTCACAATCCACCAAATTTACTCAAAGTTAAATAATCAGACATCGTCGAGGTATCTATCTGTACAAGGAGCCGCCAACTTGTCATCCTCACGTCGAGCACTTCGGTCCAATCAATCAATCAACAGGAAAGCCTAAATTGTGAATTAAATGTGATTACATTTCCTTTAGCATATACACAGAGGAGAATGATCTACCACACCTATAAAAATATACTACTGAAATAATAAAAAGTAGATAGAAAGACATCAGAATAACAAAAAAGGATACGGATTTGTAAATGTTTGCTTCAAGTTCACCTTCTCATTACAATATGGACATGTATCTTTCTTCCCGATGATACACCAACCTCGTATACAAAAATCATGGAAGCTAGAAATTTTATAGATGAAATAATGTTAAGGAATATTGCAAAATTACTTTCATATATTTCAATCAACAGAATACAATAGAACGTGTACACACATTGACTAATGGCTTTCGTGTTTCACCATCTATAGACATCATCAGCCTACATTATTCCCATATAGCCAAGTAATATGACGGGGTTACATACAACGATATATCGACGATAGACGTCCCATCGTTCAAACATTCGTTTTCAAGATTCATCACGAACTGTGACTTCAATTCGGGAGTTGTTGAAACCCAAGAACTGTCTGTCTGTTTTCGACAGAGAACTTTGCATCGACGTGCGGCAGTTCAAGTCGCCGCACTTCCGTCATGAAGCACACAGAGCAAGAGAAGAAAGTAGAAGAAATGCATAATGGAGACAGTAGACAGAGGGGTGAGACAACGGAATAGTAATAGCGAAGGACAATATAGTTTCATTGGAAATCATAAGAAACAAGGAGTGCATGCACCTGCGCTAGCCTTTGAGAACGTAACTGGAAGGTGTCCTCGGTTCGACCCACGGCAGTGGATGTGAACTGCTGATAAGTCTCAAATTTATTCGGACGAAACAGCTACCCAGTACTCCCTGTTGGTTTTCAATGATTTTCTAACTGATATCAATCCGTGGACAAACTTCAAATACGAACCTGTTTAGCAAGTGGTTAACTAGATAGATGGGTATACCTGCTCCACTTCCGTGAGTGACTATATTCCCACTGATCCCCTCAAAGGTCAGTGGACCGCGAGAATCATCTTTTCTGTAACGGGTACGCCTTGAAATCCCTCATGTTTGTAATTACCTGTTGATATGTATATATGATATTTGTAAAATCTCAGCGAGATTGAAATGAGTAATTCCAACGTTTCCTGTGTTCGGAAATCTGGTCCGAACCTCTTCAGGGAAATTAATCCAAATTAACATAACAGAGGTTTATATGCAGAAAAGGAGGACATCACTTGTTTTTAAAAACTTTGTCCAATCATGAGTCATTCAACAAGAATTATAAACAAAATTATATGAGCTGTGATCACACTCTGTTTAAAGTGTTTAACAAAGGTTGACCAAAAAATTTTTTAAGTCCGAGGTCAAATTTTGATCACAGAACATAAAATTTTGTTTATTATACTTGTTGAATGACTCACGATTGGACAAAGTTTTTAAAAACAAGTGATATCCTCCTTTTCTGCATATAAACCTCTATTATATAAATTTCGATTAATTTCCCTGAAGAAGTTTGGACCAGATTTCCGAACACAGGAAACGTTGGAATTACTCATTTCAGTTTCGCTGAGACTTTACAAACATAATTTTTACAAATGTCCTTTCTCACTCGGTGCCCAAATATTTTAGAACTATTTTGTCAAATCTTGACAACAGTTCACAGACTGTATTTGGTGACGATCTCATCAGAGTGGTTGACTGGACTAACACATTTCAGATATTTCCAAGACTGACCACGGATTGATATCAGATTAGAGAACCATTGAAAAACCAGCAGTCCTAGTTACCAGACTCATAGACAGTACGCACCCACCTTGGTTCGAACCCACGACCTTCCGGTTACAAGACAAGCTCGTAGACCATTCAGCCACATTTGCCGGATTCAATGGCGTAGTGGTGATGACGAGTCCTAAAACTGGGACTAAAAACCAACTCTCCAATAGTACTCCCTACCTGGTTTTCAATGGTTCTCCAACTGATATCAATCCGTCGTCAAACTTGAAGAGCAAATCAAATGCCTACAAAAATAACTCTTTGAAATTACAGGTGTTCTCCAAAGACGATAATTAGTAGGGTTCAAGGATTTCAAAGAAAATCATGTTACTGATGACTAAGGTGGTTTGGAGAACAAGCGTAATACTCCGAGATTTTTATAGATGGGAGGTTATTATTAATCACACTTCTGTTTAACCTTTAGATGAAGAGAGGTGATAATTAAAGCCATTGTGATAATTAATCACTGTAGGTATCAGGCACATTCGAAACAGAAGTGTATTTTAATTATCACGTATTCACCCTGCGAAAAAGGGAGAATTCAGGAATATCACAAGCTGTGATGGCTCATTTACACGAGACAGATATCCCATACACAAGACCATGAACCACGCATGGTCCATGAAAACTGATATATTATTCTTTACAGGATTTCATCGTGAGCTGACATCGGCTGGAGAATAATTGGAAAACAAGGCAGGGAGTACTGGACAGCCAACTGTTTCGTCCTAGTTTGGAGTTCTTCAACAGCGCGCACCCACCACCAGGGTTCGAACCCAAGACCTTCCAGTTACAAGGCTAGCGAGCTCGTAGACCATTAAACCACTGGGACTCGATCCAATGGCCAGTGCATGAATTCCAACTTCTGCCAATTCACGACCACTAGCCAATGTCTTCAGCGAGTATTTATCCTCACACCCGACCTGTTGCAGCACCGTACTGGTCACGACTTCCCACTAGAACCCCAGGTAACTACCTACCTGAGTACGGCCAGTCGCCAATGAGCATTTCATTGATTTTCAAGTATTGGTTTGTGGGGATTTGATTGATTGGTTGACTGTTATGTTACATTATGGGGACCAAATCTCCTAAGTTTCTGCGAGGGTTAGGATACTCTCCGGATGTCCAGATAAAATCAGGTGGTAGTCTTTAGAGACCACAACCGCCCACCGGCAAGCCATTACCTGGAATTCTGAAGTACAAGGTAGGGGAGCGAGCACTGTCACGAGTAATGTCCTCATGGTTGCTAGAACAGGTTCTCATACGCCATTCGATCCGTTCGGATTCTGGAATCCATGTACACCACTACTGTAGAAGTTTAGAATCAGGATTTTTCTGTTCCCACTCCCTCTAGGGGAGACCTGAATATCCAGCAGTCTCGGGAGTGTAGGCGCGCCAGCTGCTCAAATCTCCCCTTTCACTTTTGCGAGGAATAGACCTCCGCTGAATGAATGCAGTGAATACGAGTTTGCCTGATAGTGACTATGAGCTCCTAGTCACATAAGAGTATTTAGACAGCAAGACTAGAGTCGATTCACCGAGATCTGAAGAATCCAGGACTCTATTTACTTGAAAGTCGAGTTGCTTAAGTCGATGATGAGTTGCGTCTACACCCCCACCCCGAAAAATAAAATATATATCCTAAAAATAAAATCGACCACAAAAAAAAAAATGATATGAAACAAACAAAGTAAGGATACACATGAGTACAATTGAGTCGATGAACTTTTTCTCCACTATCTGTTGTTAAATCATTTGTACATATTGAGCATATGGATGGATCAATTCGTCGAACTGGCATACCATGTGGTACTCGATACTAAAAATTCAAAAAAATAAAACAACATTAAATCAATCAATAAATAAATAAAATTTGAACAAAGCAAGAACAAGAACAATTGTACCCGAAGATAATATGAGCTCATCTTTTATAATTATTATTTCGAGGATTCTTCTCAACTGGTTACAACCTGAACGATAAAAATATATATGAATTACATTACATTAAAGATTTGATGAGCATACTTATCCACGATCACAAGGAGTAATTGGTTGGTAGGAAGTGTAAAAGTAACATTAGTCCGGAATGATTTAACTAATTAAGAGTTACAGACACACTGACTATTTATAGAATAATTAGAAAATTAGGCTTGGAAACAAAAACAGAGTTGCGTATATATGTGTGTGTAAAGAAACAAGGTTTAGCTCGCTCGGTCGGTCGGTTTTAGACATAGAACTTTGCACATGTGTGCGGCAGTTCAAGTCGCCACACTCTCTCTTTGCAGCACACAAAGGAAGAGAAGAAAGTAGGAGAAATGCATAATAATATCGACAGTAAACAGAGGTGTGAGACAAAGGAATAGTAATAACGGAGAACAAAAGTTTCATTGGAAATCACAAGTCACAAGGAGTGGATGCATCTCCACCACTGAGAACGATTTTGAGCCATGTCACCAATTGTTTCCAACCATTGGTTTTTACCGTCCCGAGGACCCCAACCAGTCAGGAAGTCTACACCTTCCTACGTGACTAGATTAAACTAACTGTTGTGGATTTCATTGACTGATGAAGCCATGTTTTGGTTTGGCCGCCGCTAGCTCTTTTCCAGCCTGGCCCTATATCAGCTAACATTGCCCATTGTCGAGGAAGGCGATGACTAGGCATACGTAGCACATGTCCTAACCATCTCAATCGATGTAATTTCACAGTCTCATCTATTGATTTCACCGCCTTACCTAGCACTCGACGCCTAACCTCAATATTGCTCACCTTATTGTACCACTTCACACGGGAGATAGAACGCAGACACCTATGGTCGAAGACAGCTAATCTTTTCATGTCTTCTGCTCTCAATGGCCAGGTCTCACAGCCATAGAGGAGGATGGGGTGGACTGCTGAGCAGTACACACGCCTTTTGGTCGATAGTCGGATATCGCGTCTACTCCAGAGACGGCGTAAACTGGCATATGCGAAACTAGCCCTCTGTATTCGTACTGAGATTTCATCGGAGATCAACCCGTTGGGGCTGATGGTACTTCCCAAGTAAGTGAAGCGGTCAACTTGCTCTACCACTTCACATCCTATTTCTAATCTAGGGGTCGGTGTAGAAAGAGTATAACAAAAATAGTATATTACGTAACTAAAGAAAATGTTTTATCTAATAGACAATAGAAAAAAGAAGAGAAAAGAAGAAGGTAGGGTGAGTCATGTTTAGATAAGAGAGTAGAGTTTTCTAAACAAGAAAAATGGTGACTCATAAAAGTTGTATATTTTTTTTGTTATCACCAGGGCAGTGCAAGATTCACCACTGTCTCTTTCTGCGTACACATAGATTTAGTTTAAGTCGTTTGATAGCGATTGCTTCAGCAAAGCGTACCCAGCTAGATTTCTTTTGCTTGTTGATTATTTTGAACGACTTCAAGTTGTCTACAATATGACCAACAGATGTCTAATGGATGACGCGCAATCGCACTGTTTAATGCTTGTGGACCTTTCAGTCTCAGGTTCTTTGGTATGTGTTCAGAAATGCGGACAATAACCCTTCTCTCTGTTCTTCTGATGTATGTGCTTTGGCACTACCTTAAAGACAGGGAGGGAGTGAAGTGGTTGATAGAGCATGCTGACCACCTCACTTATTCGGGAATTTGCATCACCCAGCCCCAATGAGCTGATCGCTGACGAAATATCAGCATCGATACAGAAGGCTCGTTTTGCATTTCCCAACTTACGCCATCTCTGGCTTAGTAGATGTGATATCCAGTTGACTATTGATCAAACGATGTGTGTACTGCTCAGCACCAATCCACCTCGTTCTCCTTTATGGCTGCGAGTGAAACATGGCCATAAAATGCCTGACTAGCTGTCTTTGATCATAAGTGTCTCCGATGTTAGGTGATATAATAGAGTGAGCAATATTGAGGTTAGGCATCGGTCGAGTACTAGGTAAGGAGGGGAAATCAACAGACGAGCTTGTGAAGCAGTTACATCGATTAAGATGGTTATGACATGTGTTACGTATGCCTACCCATCGCTTCCCCTAGATGGGCAATGTTAGATGACATAGGTTGGATCAGGTTGGAAAAGAGCTAGTACGTGGTGGTCAAACCAAAACATGGCTTCATCAGTCGGTGAAATCCACAACAGTTAGTTTAAACCAGCCACTTTGTGAGGTGTGGACTTTCTGACTGGTTAGGGTCCTCGGGAAGGTAAGCACGAATGAAGACTGGAGAAAATTGGTGATGTGGCTGGCGCGAAATCGTCCTCAGCGATGGCTGGTGCAGATGCATCCACTCCTTGTGACTTATAATTTCCAATACAACTATATTTTTATTCGATATTACTATTCTTTTTGCCTCATATCTCTGTTCACTGTCTCTATTTTGCGTTTCTGTTTACTTTCTTCTCTTGCTTCGTGTGCTACAAGGAGTGTGGCGACTTGAACTGCTGCACATCGATGCAAAGTTCTACGTTGAAACCAGTCAGTCAGTGAGAATCACTAGCATTGAAACTACAAAAAATAAGAGCTGAAACATTCTTTGCAGCAACAAAATGTTTATAATTCACCACTCGTCCTTCATCCTTCACCACAAGTGAAGGATAAGCTGGCTGACTGGTTTCAACATAGAACTTTGCACAGATGTGTAGCAGTTTCAGTTGCCACACTCCTTCCACATACCATACAAAACAAGAGAAGAGAGTAAAAAGAGATTCATCAAAAGAGAGTGTTGGTGGCACAGTGGTTAGGACTTTCACCGACCATGCAAACGGTCCGGGGTTCGAGCCCCTGCCGACGCACACCTGACATCAATGGTCGGCCTGCAACATTTGGGCTACCAATATCACATGCTGAAATTCCATACTTGAACCAAACCACTGTGTGGAATCAAGCTATAATCAAAAATAATAAATAAATTTTAAAAAAGCTGCCCAGTCTGGCTACTTCAATGTGCACTTGATAATTTAACTGTTCTCGTAAAGACAGTTGAACATAGGTAGATCGACTCGGAAAGCCTACCGACGCTTTCTTGAGTATTGTCCAACATGGTCAGGTGAAGGAGTCATAAAGTCAATCGGAAGTCCCATGCTGTCACACCTTGTGGATATGCATCACACGATTGATAAAAACATTCATCTCTTACAATTCTATACAAAGTGCCACCTCGACTCGCTAAGTTTGTACGCCTTCAATAACTCTGAATGTTATTTTTATTTGTATTTGTATTGCTAACTTTATTAATCAATAGCATGTTGTGCTACAGTTGGGATATTTTCATCTTCGTTCCACAATTTGTTATTATTATTATTCTCCTCGGTGGTCGACCTTGGTGCGCTTTTCGATTAGTGCGCGACACTGCCTTTCCTCTTGTGATTGTTGTTGTTCTGATTGCTTTATTTCTTATTTTCCTGATTCTAAAGGCAGCAGGCCAGAGAGTCACTCCTGTGTAACTTAAATATCCATGTAACAACAATACTATGAAGCTATGACAAGTCTGTGTAGAGGAGATCAACAGCACTCCTCAGCATGAAAAACAAGATCAGGATTGGCAATACCAATGTGAAGACAGTACTACTCACTATAAGGATCAGAGACTTGGCACCGCGCCGCGTCACGAAGGGCACTTCTAACAAACTACAGACTTTCATCAACAGCTAGCTGTCTTCTTTCAATGTTACTCAAGATCAGATGACCAGAGGAGGTCAGCAACAGAGATCTCTGGGAGTGAACCAACCAGGAACCAATTGTGCAACATATATGCAAGAAGAAATGAAGGTGGATTGGCTGACCATACTCTGAGAAAACAAACTGTCATCAAGTGAGTGACATCACACGCCAGGCCATAGCTCGACTGGAATCCAAATGGGAAGCGGCGAGTTGGTCGATAGTCAGTGTGAGGGTGACACGGAGGAGGACATGTGAAGAGGAGATGAGAGAATGTGGGCAGACGTGGAGACAGGTGATGAAAATGTTGGTGGAGAACGCTGGAAGCAATGGAGACGTGCGACTGAAGCCCTATGTTTTTCTAGGAACTAAAGGAACCAATAATAATAACTCTCCTCGATTAGATTTGATTCTATTAACCCATATTGCTTCAAATATGTATGACTAATATTTTAGTATGTAATTGTAAGGCCTCATGAGAAGCTAGCCGGGAAAAAAAACGTAAATCGTGTTCTAAGATAAGTATCATATATCAAGAGTGTCGGTGAACCCACCGAAGCAGAACACATCAAGAATGTTCGACTGGAGTAGTATTGCCCCAGTGAAATGATTAAGAGAGTGTAAACTGACTATGATTGGTCGGTGGCGACGGTGGCATAGCGATTAGGACGCTCGCCGTCCATGCACATGGTCCGTGGTTCGATCCCCGGCCGACGCCTTCCTTTACCTCGCTAAGCCAGAAATAACGCTGGTGAAGAGGAAAGGTTGGGCATGAGGCTAGCAACCCCCAGCCACTAGCTTGAAGCCCTATGTTCCACTGGGGAAGGTGAAGGAAAAAAACTGACTACGATCGGGGTACCCCAGACTGTTGGTGGCAGGACTTAAAGGCGTTCATCAATATCTCGAGGTTGCATTCATACTCACTTCACGGACTCCTAAACGGATTTTACCATCATATTTCTCCAATATAATTATTCTTTCTCTCCTACCTGTTCCCTTCATTACAGTTCCTTTGAATTTGTTCTCTCCACTTTTGTGTGCTACAAATGGAATGTGACAACTTGAACTACTGCACTTTTGTATTCAGCGTTTTCTACATTGAAAACTTGGTCAGCCAGTAGTTAGTCAATAGACATAAGTTGTTGGTTAATAGGTCTTGAATTGTGGGATTGGCGTCAGTGGCACAGTAGTATTATGTCCACCGACCACCCAGGTGGTTTGGGGTTCGATCCCCGGTCACCAACGCAATCATTCACCCAGCCAATCCAGTAATAGGACTGGTAAAAAGGGAAGGTTGGACATGAGGCTAGCAACCCCATCGCTTAAAAATAAAGAAACACCACTGTGACCGAAACTTCAAGCCTCTAGCTTGAAGCACCCTATGTTCTTTCCACTGGGAACCTGAAGGAATAAAGAAAAATTATTTTAAAAACTGTGGGATTGCCATGCTACCCTGTGCTTTGAAGTTTCTGCGGCGATTGGATTGGTTAATTCACATAGGAAAGAGGGATGAAGATAACTAACCAACCAACGAACCAACTGACAACAACAAGCACCAGTCACTATCAACGCGAAAATTTGAATGAGCCCCCCCTTCTTTCACTTGCCTGGCTAGAAAGCATCGTTTCAACCAAAGGCAGCAGACGGTACACAGATGAGGATGTCAAAACCAGGACATGGCATAGGAAAGGCAAATCAGACCTTCGTCACTCTGAAATCAGTTTGAAAGTCTTCTGTACACAGTCGGCATAAACAACGAAATTCGGATTTTCAACACCAATGTTGTTAAGTCAGCCAGTCACTTCTTCTATATGGGTCAGAAACTTGGTGTGCTCGCCATGAAAAGCATTTCCAACAGGTCACACTTCAAACTTTTATCAACAGCTGCCAACAACTTCGCTCTATACTGAAGATCAAATAGCCAGTCAGAAAGAATTAGCAACAAAAAACTATGAGAACAAAGGATCCAATCCAAAACCTATTGCTCAAGAAATGTGCCGAAGAAACTGGAGATGAGAAGACCATTGGGTGAAATCGTGCGTTCGCCAGACGATTATCACTCGAATGGAAACTGACGAGTTGAGCATGTATCCGACGACGGTGAGACATGCAGGCGATCACATATCATGAGGAGATGAGAGCCTATGAGCAATTGGGGGAGGGGGGCGGGGACTTCAGCTAAATAGAACTACTACTGCAGAGATGTGTTGGTGAAATCCAAGGGAATAATTATTAATATGTAATAATGTCTGAAGGGCACTTCGAACAAACTACAGACTTTCATCAACAACTGTCTTCGCTCAAGATCAGATGGCCGGTCAGAAAAGATCACCAACACGGATCTCTGGCAAAGAACGAACCAACCAACCAACCCAGCAGGAACCGATTGCGCAACAAATATGCATGCAGGAAGAAATGGAGTTAGGTGGATTGGTGGCCATACTGTGAGAAAACAAACCATCAAGTGAGTGACATCACACGCCAGACCATAGCTCGACTGGAACCGAATGGGAAGCGGCGAGTTGGTCGTCAGTGCGAGGGTGACATGCAAAGAGGAGATGAAAGCATGTGGGCAGATGTGGAGACAGGTGATGGAAAAGTTGGCAGAGAACCCTGGAAGCAATGAAGACGTTCGCCTGAAGCCCTATGTTCCTCTAGGAATTAAAGGAAACAATAATAATATGATAATAATGTCTAACTTTAAGCGTTCTTTATCGCTGTGAATAAGAGAATATCTACTCAAAATGTTCAATCAATAATGAATACAAAAGATTTTCAACAATCACTAACTTACTGCTATTTTTGCAGCCATTTTATCTGTACATACTTCAGCGAAATCTCTTGCAATCACGCCATAATAAAGACCGTAGAATAAAGCCAGCATAGCTATATCCATTGCAATTTTTGTAGGCAGTAAGAACAGAAGATTCACTTGAAAAAATGTTAACATCATTAGAATGTAGCCGCCAACACCGAGGATATAAGAGATTGTATGAATAAATAAGAACCATCGATATACTCGCCTATAACAGAAAAATATTGGGATTAATAGTAATAAATAATAACAATAATAATAATAGGTTTATTCGAAACAGTACTTTTGATACAGTGTGGAATTTTCAGCCCGAGGGGGGATTGTCAAACAGGGTGTTTATATTGATTATTTTGTTCAATAAGAATATGAATATCACATAAACATTTACGTGGAAATTCTCATCATGAGCTGACACCGGTTAGAAAACCACTGGGGAACCAATAGGAAGTACTGCACAGTCAACTTTTTCGTCCTGGCTTGGGACTCCTCGGAAGCAAGCACCCACCGCCAGGGTTCGAACCCAGGACCTTCCGGTTACAAGGTGAGCTCGTAGTCCGTTAAGCCACTGGGACTTGATCCCATAGCCTATGAATTCTAGCCTCTGCCAATTCACGGTATAGTGTAACTACCAGCTAATGTCATCAGCGAATATTTGTCTTCAGACTCGATCTGCAGAAGCTGGAATTCATGGACCATTGGATATGGGTCCCATTGGCTCGCTTTGTAACCGGGAGGTCCTGGGTTCGAACCCTGGCGGTGGGTGCATACCTCTGAAGATTCCCAGACCAGAAGGAAACAACTGACTGTTCAGTTCTCCCTGCTGGTTTTCCAAAGGTTCTCTAACCAACATCAGCTCATGGCTAAAATCCTTTAACTAGTCAAATCCCTGCAAGCCAACAATTAAATATCAAGTGAAAATATTAACCACAATATAATAGTAAAAGAAAGAATGGAAAGGGCAGTTTACTTAAAGACTCTTAGTAAGTTACCACTGTCATGCCTTACACACTTTTCTCATTGCATAACATAAGTGCCAAGTAAGGAATTATGAAAAAGAGAAGACATTCAGCGAAGAGACTCTTTTCGGCGAATTCATTCACATAGCTGTACAATCGCATATATATAAATACTTGTGCGTGTGTGTGCGTGTGTGTACATGAGGTTTGTCAAGTTTAGATAATTGATTAGTTAATACAAGAATGATGTAGTAGTATAGAGACAAAGTTAATCAGACAGCAACTAAAGTAAGACTGAGTTAAAAAACTAGATGACGTAATATAATTGGCTAAAATATTACAACTTAGGTCAGGATAGCAAGAGAGGTAATTACAGGTAGAGATTAAGTGAAATTGAGTGAATAAGTTGGATGACGTAACATGAATGACTAGAAATTATGCGTTGTTCAAGTCATTAACAGCGGTAGTGAGGTGTAGAAATTGAATCGGGTGGGGGTAGAGAACAAGAAAGTTGAAAATGTAAAATATTACAATTGAGAAGACAAAATAATACTAATGAAGAGACAGAAGAAAAGATTAGGTAGAATTTACATGTCGGCTAATAAGATAGATTACGTCCATTTCAACAATGATCACCGCAATCGCACTGACAAGTAGTAGACACAGAGAACGTAGACGAAAAGTTCTCAGAACCAGAATCCCGTCACACACAAATAATTATATATAAATGCGATTGTACAGCTATGTGAATGAATTCGCCGAAAAGAGTCTCTTCGCTGAACGTCTTCTCTTTTTCATATGACTCAATGGAGATTTTCAAAAAATAAGGAATTGTAGAATTTTTGTACTTCATCCTCCGAGCATATAGTCTTCTATAGCTGCTTCTAGTTCTACGTGATGTGATGCAGTTGGGAAGATTTGTGTATAGAGGGAATTCTCAGAGTCCGACAAGATGATATTCACTAATTTCTTGCAAGTGTCTATCTACAACGGTATTAACAAGTTGGTTTAGTGACATCTCACTCTCTCTCTCTCTACTGACAATGTAACAAAGTCTTTCTTAAGTAACCCAGAAAAGATTAAGGGAGAACAACAAAGAAGAATCGGTAGAATATGAGAGTTAAAAAAAAAACGGTAGAAGTAGAGACTGACACTGATGCCAGATTCTCTCAACTTTCTTACTTAGAACGTCAACCGATATATTATTCTAGAAGTGTGCTCTTGGAAGTGTGTGTGTGGGCGGTTGTTACTTCCCGGTTGCCCACACTGTGGAAGTTGGTTGAATCTTCAGGTACCTGAAACAGAAAGAGGGTTAGTGTTGCGTGACTGCAGAGCCCATGGGACAACCGCTTGATGGTGGCCGGTCACACACGGCCTGGTTTCTGAGTTTGGTTCCGTATTAGCAAACTTACCGCCGGCTACGGACCACCGTAGGGTAAGTCAGGATGTATAATTGTTGAAGTCGACCTTTTCTAACCCCCTCTCTTCGGAGTGGAGAGGCAGCATAGGTGGCTGGCACGCTGGTCATCTGAGGGAAACACCTCACCGCAGCTGTTACATCCCTGTTCCCCAGTAGTAGTACTACTTCGCCCACAGACCACCACAGCATGTAACAAAAAACTTCAGCACTATGCCGGTAACTGGTTTTAGTCTAATCGCTATCCTAACAACCTTCCTGGCATGTTAGGACCTGCAGGAACAATAGTTCCAGCCAGTGTAGCTTATTGAGTCATTGCGATATGCAAGCCTGGCGACCACCACGTCAAGGTAGCAGCTATCCGGTCGGGTATTTTTCATTCCTTTTTACTTTCTTCTCTTGTTTTGTGTGTGTGTTACATGGACTGTGGTGACTTGAACTACTTACTGCACATCGGTGCAAAGTTCTATGTTGAAAGCAGTCAGTCAGAAAATGAAAGCTGATGATGGATTATTTGTAAAGCCGACTAGAGACTTCAGAGAACAGACTGTAATAAAGATTTGCCTCTGAAACTGTATTTTTTTGCCAATTGGAAACCAGGGGACGAATAATAATGGGAAGTAAAAATGTTATTGAACATTTGAACGAAGAAAGACCGAACATATTTATTTGCACGATGATACAAGCTGGTTTTATTTCTTAGATTCCGTTCAACTGTGTACATCCTAAATGATTTCAGAATATAAGATTCGAAATTACTCTTTTCTCACAATTACTTGGAGTTATAGATAAGAAATATGATTTGATATAAGAATAAAACTTGTGCACTGTGGTAGAGCATAATTCCATTATCGGTAAAATTTATTTTGATAAAGTCTCACAGTGTTATCGGTCGGTCGGTTTTCGACATAGAACTTTGCACATATGTGTGGCAGTTCAAGTCGCCACACTCCCCACATGTAGCACACAAAGCAAGTGAAGAAAGTAAAAGAAATGCATATTAGAGACAGTAAACAGAGGTGTGAGACAAAGGAATAGTAATAACGGAGAACAAAACAGTTTAATTGGAAATCATAAGTCACAAGGAGTGGATGCATCTGCACCAGCCACTGAGAACGATTTTGAGCCATGTCACCAATTGTTTCCAACAATTGGTTTTTACCGTCCCGAGGACCCAAACCAGGAAGTCTACATCTTCCTACGTGGCTTAGACTAACTGTTGTGGATTTCATTGACTGATGAAGCCATGTTTTCGTTTGACCGCCGCTAGCTCTTTTCCAGTCTGGTCCTATATCAGCTAACATTGCCCATTGTCAAGGAAGGCGATGACTAGGCATACGTAGCACATGTCCGAACCATCTCAGTCGATGTAATTTCACAGTTTCGTCGACTGATTTCCCCGCCTTACCTAGCACTCGACGCCTAAATAATCAAAATAATGTCAAAAGCAAAATAAAAAATAATAGGGAAACTAATAACGATAATATGAATAAGAAAGAATATAAGGCCTCTACTTTTATACCATATAAAGAGTGGACATCTGAGACCCTACAAAGGATTCTAAATAAAGCAGGAATTAGGGTGGCATTTAAACCTATAAACTCACTCAGGTAGGACGAGTTCTGTAGGTTAAAATACCCAGCTGACCCAGTTAGACAAAGTAATATAATTTACAAAGTACCCTGCAACGACTGTGATTTAAGTCAACTACATAGGTCAAACTAGTAGGTCACGGGTAGTTAGATTGCCGGAACATAAGAATTTTTAGCTAGAATAAGAATGGTTGACCCCACCCGAGAAGATAAGTAATTTAGAAAAAAGCTCAGCACTACATTGCACTGCATGCATTAACAACGCACAACCACACATTAGGGTGGGAGAGGGTTAAAATTCTAAAAAGTAATCTAGGTAGGTGGAGAGAAAGAGAGTGGTTGATTACTGAATCCTTGTTCATCGAGTCTACACCCAACACATGCAATAGGAATGACTCATCACTCATACTGAAAATATGGTAAATACTAATACCAATCAAGTCAAGCGATGAATTGAAATAATGGAATTATATAAACGAAGTTAGAAAGGTGTTTGTGTGTGTGTGTGTATGTGTGTACCGTGATATGATTATGAGCAGTGATAAATTGTACTCGAAACGCGGTCATCAGTAAACATAATTCCGAAAAAAAAGATGATGTAAGTAAACGAATAATCCAGTGTTGAAAGATTATTTATAGTATAGTTAGACAAAAGGAGTCGGGGGGGTGGGGGTAAAGTTCAGTTTTAGCTTGGAAACAAGAATAGACTAGACACAATATATAGAAGATTGAATTTAGACATATTGTGATGGAGAGTTCAATAGGGTGGGAGGGAAATAGTAAAGGTAAAATTATGACATAGACAAACAATTTGTAAACTGTAAATTTGTAAACTTTATAGTGAGTTCAACTCAGTGAGTGAAAAATAAAATCAACATTAAGTCGGATATTACGCAATAGAAGAAAAGACAAAAAACACATGAACAAAATAATTACAGTTATCAGGGTAGTGAGAGATTAGTCATACTGTCTGTCTGTCTGTCTGTATACAGAAGTTGCGTCAAAGTCTTTTGATAGCAATCAATGGCTTCTGCTAACCGAAGTAATCATGTTATTTCTTTCACTGAGTTGAACTCACTATTAGATTTCTAAATTTACGTAATTTTAATTTTACTATTCACCCTCATCCGCTTGAGTCGTCCATCATAATGTATATAAATTCAACTTCAAAGTTATTGTCGATATTATGTTTTTTAAGGAAACAAGGAACAATTCGATAGGTGTTTCATCTTCATTGAAAACC